AATGTTCGGCTCCGCCCGAACTTAGACTTTCTTACTTGTTTATTTAATATTTCTGGTTCTACTAACACTAGTGAGCACTCACATAAGGTCTTTGTTTTATTTTTTATAGTTTGACACTTAAATTGCTGTTATAAGTGGTAATATTTGCTTTCCCAAAAATTGTAGATAAATACGTGGTGTATTTGGCTCGGTTTTATTATTTTTTTATCTTTCTTTTGTATCTCTTTTATTGCGGCGTGGTCGTCAGTGGGATCGTTTACTACCTTCATACACCTGTCTTCTTTGATGACTTGTTCCTTTTTTATGTGCTCGTTTCCATTAATTAGTACGCTAGTGTTTCCTTTGTCAGTTTTGGTCGTTTGGTAGGGTGTTCGATTATTCACCTCTTTCCAAAACCGTGTTTTGAGTTGTTCGAAAATTGCCAATTGCAAAAAAACTGTTTCCCAATTTTCAAATTAGAAAAATATCCGGTTTTTTCATGACCAATAATTTCAATGAAACTATTAGAAAAGAGCTAAGCAAAAAAAGTTCAAAATTGTTTATATCAGAAGTAAAATTCGGTCTCATTTTAAACATTTTTTAAAATTTTATTGCATTTTTAATACTTTTTTCGGATTTGAATAGTGCTCTTCCCGCCGTAGCCGAGTACGTAAATGTGCCGACTGCCACTCGGAAGGCCCATGGTTAATTTTTGTTACAGCAGCATTACAAAAAAGTTTGTTGGAGTAAAAGTGTTGCTATAAAATCAAGCAGAACACTAATTAGCGGAGAAACTCAGCTAAACACGCAGAAAATGTTTAAGTGCCAAACACTAATTTATAGGAATCAAATATGATATACTGTTCAACCCGAAATAAGTTGGAAATAATTTTAAAATTATTAAGGGATTTCTCTTAAACTGGAAAAGACCTTGAAAACTGTGAATACCTCAAAGAGAGAAGTCAAGATTTCTATGAAATATAAAAAACCGGTTTGTTCGATCAAAAAATCCGGTTTATTCGATATTCGAAGAATCAAGACTTAAAAAAACTCGCTTATAGATATCCAAAAAAAATGGTGGAAACCGATTTGGAATAACCGAGTCAGTCACCCTACTTTTCAATTAGTTGTTTGCAAATGTGTCTAGTGTGTTCCTGTTCCTCTTTCGGATATTTTGCTTGAGGCCTTTCCGTTTTCGGATCATCCTTAGCGCGTCAAAAGTTTTAAAGAAAATAATTCAAACTATGACAAAAAAAATTTTAATATGCACGGAAGCCTGTTGTTTTCGAAAAAAAAATCAAGGGAAATCAACGGAGGAAATCGGCGCAGAAATAAGCGAATTTTGAATATGCAAATGGAAATGCGCAAGCCTATAAGCAGGGTATCCATGGCATACTCGTAGTACATGGCGTATGAGTAACATTTTCTCAGCCCATATAGACGCACAGTGTACTTTTTAGGGGTGTGAGTGATCACAAATCTATAACTTTTGACGGGTTTAAATTTTCCTTCGCGGTTTCTTTTTGTGTTGTTAAGTGGAACATTTTCTATCGATTGTCATAGCAAAAAGTTTAAATATGCTCCAATTTTACCTCGAAAAGATACCTCAAATTGAAAAAATATGTATATATATTTCCAGTTCCTTTAGATTACCAAAACACTTATTATTTTATCGGTTTTTTAATTTTTGGTATTGGAAGAGACTTATGTAATTGTTAATAGCAGTAGAAATTAAAAAATCGACTTTGTAAACTGACGCAAAATTTCATTTTTTTGTTGTTTTGCTTTGTAAAGTTTTATGTACCAGTCGTTTACTTAATGAAAATTGGCAATTGAGGTCATTATCACAATTCAAAATATTTCATAAAGTTTTTTTTTATGCTTTTGCCTATTTTTGCCTATTCTCAGATAGGGCGTTTTTGAATCATTTGCTGAGATAGGGCAAATTCTGAAATAGGGCGTTCCTGAGCCGGCTGCCAAGAATAATCGATCTTTCCACTCATCAGCCGAGATATCATTAAAAACCCATTGCTCATTTTCGTTTCATCATACACGACTTTATTTATCCACACATATATATACTTCGATGGTAGCTTGATTTTTTCGTAAATAATAAATACAAAAAAAAATAGAAAATTAAAATTTTTCTATTTTTTCTCTTTTACAGCCAATTTCATGAAAGCAATTTAACTGAAAATTATTTGGATTTTTTTATTTTTATATAGGCAAATTTACAGTAAATGAAAAATCATTTTCAACTTAAACTGCTGGTGAAACCAGTTGTTAAAGTTTACATTTTTTTATAAAATTTTGGCGTGATACGGATTGTCGCAAAACGGCATCGCAATCTAGAGCCCAAAATTAAATTTACGTGTTTGGCCGTATAGTTTTAATATTTTAAAATTTACCTACAATGGGCCATATTATCAAAACCAAGCAATTGCTTTTTCTTAAAATTTCAAACCTTCTACTTTAATTTATTTAAGTAAATCGAGTATTAATCTGAAAATTTAAGAACAAATATTTGCTTAATTTTTATTCATAAGGCCCAATGTTTCCAAAATCTGTTTTATTGGGTTGACTTATAATTTTCTATGTATACATGTACATAAATGTATATATAAGCCTTTTCAATACCTCATGTATATACGTACATATGTAAAGGGAAATTTCCGAGTCAAAAGCATTTTTTTTTATTGCATACATACGTATATTTTGCGCATATTTTCAAATTTTTTACTCGGATTCATTGGTGTAAAGTAAAAAATTAGGAGGAAAATCTTTGGCAGTAACACGATTGGTTCAAGACATAATATGAAAGCATTTAATTTGAAGTTTCTAACATAATCATTCTAACCATAACAACTTTCTTGTTAACAAATGCATTTATATTTTTTTTCTTGTTTAATTTGCCATTTATGTAAGTTTTTTTACAATTTCTATAAATGTTAAAAAAATTACAAAACGTAGAGCACGTACATACTTACTCATATACTAATTAATAGCGATGCATAATTTAGCTCTGCTAATATGCATTTGTTTTTGATTAAATATTTGGGTAAATTTTTTTTTTTTTGTTTTTGGACCTGCTTTTTATGTTAGTCTGTCTCATGCTTGTTTGTATACATATACACACATTTACACCCATATAGAATACCTACTAAATATATCTACTAAAACTATTAAATATAATAAATTTCATTTGCCATTTCAAAGCATCAACATGTTCAGTTACTTATAATTATGAAGTTCTAGTTTCTCATTAGGTACTCTTTCCTTGGTTGCATTCACATTTACTTGTACATTTGTGTGCGCTTTCCTAAATTCGGTTTGTAACGTATCGATACGCGTTCACGTTCCTTTTGCATTTCTGAAATAACTTCATGCAATAAGTAAATATTTTAATTAAGATTTTATTATTGAAAATTTTCGTCCACACCTTTTACTAAACGTACTAAATTTTCATAGACATCAGCTTGCATCTCATCAAATACGTCCGCATTATCACCTTTACCCTCAATTGTATTATATTCACTTGCCTCGTTGCTTTGATAGCGTTTATGTGGCTGTTTACTTTTAAATCCCGTAAAAAGATCAGCCTTAATTTGGGAATATTTATGCACGAACAAAATGAAAAGAGCAAAATAAATAATACCGTTTTATTTACTCTGTAAATAACGATTGCCTGTTACGCACCTGGTAGTCACTCTGCTCTAACGACTTGGCGCTGCAAATCACATAGAAGTAGCCAGTAAGGAGCAGTNACCGTTTTATTTACTCTGTAAATAACGATTGCCTGTTACGCACCTGGTAGTCACTCTGCTCTAACGACTTGGCGCTGCAAATCACATAGAAGTAGCCAGTAAGGAGCAGTATAGCCAGCAAACTCCATTGACCCATTTTCACTTGTAGTTTATGTCTGTATAACGCTAATTTATGTGTTTGTAAATTGGAAGAATTTGTTTTTTAGAATTAAGCGGTATCCTTTGCTTTATGACAGTATATCAATCGCGGCTCCGATTGCGTGCTAATCTAAACAAAAACTGTGCTACTTAGCTGTTAAAAGCGATATTTTATAGCCGCTTTTATATGAACGAAGCGCCATTATGATAATGCTAGGCGCCATGCATAGATTTCAACACTTTCAAATGCTTCGTCATACAAAAAATTAGTTTAATAACATAGCGTGATATGCAGTTTTTCATTCGACGCAATCACTATTCTAAGTAAATTGTCAAAAATTCACAAAAAAAAATGTACAAATGATGCAAGTCACCTTTGTACTTAACAAGTCACAGTATTGTAATATCACCCAAATTATACAAGTATGTGTGTGTAGTACGTTAGGTTGTTTGAGCTGCCTTGAGCCAAGGCCGGGCAGGAGGCATAACTAGGCTTAAGGAGGCATGTTGTGGTACCGTTTAATTGGCTCCAAGTTGATTCCTACCATTTACTTAGACCAGCAAGACAGTCGGAAAAGTAGTGGTTGTACAACCCCATAAGCCTATACCGACCTTAGTAGAGTCGGTGTTGAATGTTATCAACCTATTCATAGTCACGACAGTCAGATATGTACCGGGAAGCTTATTCTCCTAGCGTGCCTTTCCATAAAGTAAATAATGGTCTGCAATAATCAGTGACATGTATTTAGCAAGTTTAGCAATCTTGATTCCAATAATCATGCAACCTACAGCTCTTTGGCGACTTTAATGTAATGTTAAAAAACATTCAAACTATTCCAAATATTATAAGCTATTCGAGTGTCATATTTCTTCTAAATCTGTGCAGTCGTTTCGCATAGTATGTTTTTAATATTATCAAATTTTAAATCACCCGATAAAAAGTTTCTAATTTCAAAACAGGCAAGGTCTTTATTTTACAGTTTATACAATTTATTTTCTAGTAAACTTCTACAAAGTTTAATTTGTGGCGGAAGTGAATTGCGAAACCTACCTGAAAGCCTTTTCAAACCCATTCCGATTAATATTCATCCATAACAAATTCAATTAACTTATTAAGTAATCTGAGGACAGCTTATGGAATACGTGTCAACGCTCCTATATATATTGCAGGAATAGAGCCAATACGATTGACACCCATATTTAAATAATTCATTTGACTTTTAAAATAATTTCAATAATACTTGAACAGGTGGCAACCCTCTCAAAACACCCAAAAAATATTTATATTTTTCAAGCTAAAGTTTTCTGTATAAATTTTAGAACACATATTTGAATTAGGTAATTGCCCTAATTTATGGTGAGTTGAATTTTTTAAACTGACGGCAACCCTCCTAAATATATTTCAGAAACAAATCCTTTTCAAATCATTTCGATGATACCCATCTTTTGATAATTCATCCAACTTCTTAAATAATTTGAATATCACTTTATAAGCACGTGGCAACCCTTTTCTAAATCTTCAAACTCAAGTTGTTTTTAACACTCTTTCACTTCATATTTCAAATAACTTGCGTCAAAGTGAATTAAATTCGACTTTTTATACAGATGGCACCCCTCTTCAAAAGTAATTCCGCCCTAAGATATTCTTAAATATTCTTCGTGTAACATTGCGATACATATTTTTATTAACTGATAAATTAAGTTGAATTATATTTTTTGAACATGTGGCAACCCCGCTCAGTATAGTTTGATTTTTTAAGCAGTTGGCAACCCTCCTAATTTTTAATTAAGAAAGAAATATTTTCAAAACCATTTTCATATATACCCATTTCTATTTTTTTCATTTCTAGATTTCAAGCCCAATTACGTATATATACGATATACATATGCACATTAATACATTATAATGTATATATGTATATTTTGGGAAAAATATTAAGATTTACGTGAGCTATACAATCCGAAAATGTCATTATTTTGATTCCGTTGATACAAATTTTAAACATTTTGTTTACAGGCCATTTGCGCTTCAACTCTTCTATGATTCGAGAGGTAATTTAGAAAAAAAAAATTTTTTTTACTAATTTGGGTTATAAAAAACTTTATTATTTGAGGTATTTTCATCACACCAAAATCGTATTTTTCAGAAATATTTGTGCGAAAGTTTTAAAACACAATAAATTTTATATTTCCGATGGAACAGTACATACATATGTATGTATGTATGTGTTTGTATTTTATTTGCAAAATTTGTATAAAGTTCAAGCCGGCACATCCTTGCCTCTAAATTTCACAAGCAAACCTCTAATACTCAGCTTGGCAATGTCAATGGCTAAAGTCCCTATGCTCTTAGATATGCTTTGATGTGCTCTGATTCTGCACTGACAATAAGATCTTGTGACTGAAATTGAACTCCCATTCATTGTTCCATAGCTACGCTGCCAATGAAAGCCATATAGTGAGTCACACAGTAGCCAACTTTTAAGCCGCAGATTATTCCAATGAAAATGGACACCAAGAGATAATTGTCACTGCTTGTTGAAAATCTGCTTTTTTCACCGCCTTTTATTTTCTTTCCATTCGGCATTTAAAATGACACCCATTCACTTTCTATGGATATGGTCAGCACGAGCAATGATAATGGCAAATGCAATCACCATTGGCAATATAGAAATGACAGCGACATGAACAAGATTTGCTGACTCGGACACGAAGACGAAGATATAGTATAAAACCAATTGGCAAGTTGATGTCGTAAGGATAGCTGCATAAATATTTCTTTGTGCATGCATACATACATATGTATGTGTGTAAGTTTGAAGAAATAGAATTCAATAGCCAAGTTGACCGGTTTGTGTTCGTAGCGGAGGTGAATTTTGGTAATGTTCAAGCAACAGGCACCTTCTACAAAGCATGCAGATATTTGAGTAGTCAGCCAAGCAGTTATGCACATGTAAATACTTACATGTGTATGTGCATATACTATAATAGCTATTTATGTAGCTTTGTATGCTTAGCTATATTTGCATTTTAATTCTAAGCATATGCACCTGAATGTATGCAAATATTGGCATACAATTAAACTTACAGTAGAGTTAGAACAATAATAGGAATCTCACACAATTGCAACGCAATCTACATAGTTATACTTAGGTGGCTACTTATGCGAAAGCATTCACACACAATAATAAAAGTTGAAGCTCCACACGTTCGCTAAGTGCTTGGCCGAGCTTCTACTCCGATTTGTATTATGCGCCTTGCTAATTTCACACAACTGGAGGGACCTACAGCACAGCTGCATCATTGAAATGCAAGTGGTTTTCATGACTAGATTTTTCATAGTAGAAATATATTCTTAAATTTTCCATTGCCTGTTGAAAGAATCGCGCTCGAATCAGAGATCAAATCCGGAATATATCGTAGTAGTGCGCACGGGAAAATTTTAGTATGCGGACGGCAAATTCTAGAAAAAGAGGAGATGAGGGGGGTAGAATAGGGCCCCCTGATTTCAAAATGATTTTTTTCTAGCAACCCTATAGTTTTTATGCGATTTGTTGTTAAAGTTTTCGTATAAACGATGGATAAGATAGCAAAATAACATCAAACTTGGTGCTGCCGGACTGGAATTTTGAATAATAAAAGCGGTTTTTTCATTCGGAATTTCCACTCCCTTTCATTTGTTAATTCCACCTGGTTTTCTTAAAACAAAAGGTGCGACTGAATACTGAAGCCCACCCGTGCGCACTTGGCCACATCGGCTGTCATTTAGTATGTGCGCTGATGTGAGGCATGGACGGGGCAGACTGGTATTTTCCCAATTTACAACTACGTACGCATGTATGTAGGTTATGCGTTTATGTAGTATTTACGCAGCGCATTCATGCACACTCTTCGTCAAAACCACAAATGAGCCATATACCGTGTGGCTGCATACTTCAATGTGCACCAACTCACGCTCGTACATATGTATATACATAGATATGTAGGTAGAAGATACTATGATAATTGACATATGAGGTCAACAGTGATAACTGCTGAAGCGGACAAACACACGCACGCCTACAACATGCTATCCAAGCTTTTATAAATAATTGTGGTTATGAGCAATAGTCGCCTAAGTTGGATAATTATAATTTCGAAAATATGACAATTATAAATTTGAAGTGCTTTCATGAACGTCAGAAAATTTTAATTTAAGAGATTACTGCATTTGAAAAGATTTTTATATTCACAGCATATGTATGTACATATGTAGACAGAGGAGTTAGGTAGTTACATAGATAAAAAATCATATCTAAACATTTAGAGGTAGGGCTGTGCGATTATTCGATTACTCAAGCAAGTTGGTTAATCAATTATTCGGTTAATCACTTACTAGAGTAATCAAAATTTTGATTACTCAAAACGATGATTAATCGAATTACTTGAAATATGATTACTCAAAAAACAATAATTATGCTCGTTAAAAGAGTTTGCTTTGGAAAACGCTTATTTTCTTTTTTACATTCTGTATATGAAAAAAAATTTCGCTTTAATTTTTGAAAACAGAAACGTTGTTTTCAAAGTATCAAGGAACTTTAACTACTTTATACATATGTAAAGAGTTGAAATGTTAATTACTCATTGTACTCAAAATGTTGATTAATCATAATGCAAATTACTGAAATATTTTTTTTTTTTGGTTAATCAACAATCTTGATTACTCGAGTAACTGAACTTTCAGTCAGTCGGGCATCTCGAAAACAGAGAGACTAGATTGCATACAAACAGACGGACATGACTAAATTTCTCTAAAATCTATTTCTTCTTATTCTGGTACTTACAAACATCGGACCAAAGTTATAATACGATTTCATGCTCATGAAAGGTATTAGTGTGAAAGTGCATATTCAAGTTTTATTTCTAGCTCAAGTCTATGGAAAAATTCTTCTGAAAATTTCATTTATCTGAAAGTTATTAAATAAAAACTAACGGACAAAAGATTTCAAGGCTAGCGCA